ATTGGATAATTATCTAGAAGATCATCATTGGCTGATTAATTATCTAATGAAATAGTTTTTGTTTTCCTATAATCTAAAATAATCAATAGCATTTTTTTAAGGAAAAAGTCAATTTTATTTTATTCATGAAATTTTTTTAGGATTTGCTGTTATTTATCTTTAGGAATTCATTAGATAGAAACCCAAAAATAAAAAAAAAAATAAAAAAAAAAACTTCTCTTGGAAAATATGAAATAAAAAAAAAAAAACAGAAACAATGATGGAGTTTTATTTTTGATTGAAGTGATTTCTTGTTATATATATATAAATTGAAATATGTCAAAATTAAAGTATGTAGTAATGAAGTGTCTAACACCTTTCTTACGTCTAATCATCTGATGAGAAGCAAGATGACCTCACATTTCCCATCACCATCCTTTAATCCTAGTTAATTTCTATATAGATTTTGGTGATCTATCCCACTTTATTTGGATAGATGATGATTCCATCCATTTTAGCACGTCATCAAAAATATAAGACATATATGAAAGTTTAATCTAAAACTAAGAGTTTCAGGTAGGCATACCCAAGTTTATGCATGAAAGGTAATACAAAGCCACCAAGACACAAGTCAAAATGGAAACAAATTCCAGAGCTTAAGCAAATCTGCAAAACTCCCAAAAGATAAATGTAATATCTTTTCAGTTGGAAGTTATTGAAAAGAATTATGTGAATAAATCACTATAACATGCAATTTTTTTAACACTATGGGTAGAAAATTGACACTTACCTTAACAGGTCAATGATGCCATCAGGAAACCCATGTGCATATCCAACAATCTGCAATAACATTAAAATTTAAACCAATTAACTTATCAGCTATACAGAAAAAAAAGAAGAAAAAAAGGTTCAGGAACAATGAACTATGCATTTGAATGACACTTATCTCAACAGGTCAATGATGCCACCCAAGAAACCACTTGAAACGATGCTTTCTTTAATCATTTAGAATCCTCTCAAAAAATGCAAATTAGTTGGAGTCAAACTAAATCCTTTTTCTTCTATTCCCTATCATTTTTTTTTGCACCATTAGAGCATTGGTCTAGATTAAAATTCCCTTAATGGGTTATATTCACATGACTTTTTTAAAAAAAAATTCCTTTATAAATCAGTTCAAAATTTGCATTTTTTAAATGGAGCCTGAAGTTTTACTTGAAATAGATGCCATATGTGCTTGGACTTTTGAAATGAATAAATTTTGTTGAAAATATATGATAAATATTAATTTAAAAATAAAAGAATGATCTTTTGATTTAATTACCCTTGTTGGTACCTGGTCGAAATTTTGCACCAATTTGAATTAATGGCAGCTTGCTTTTAGCTCTAGCAATGACAATTTCCTTTCTAATTCCCACCATAGAAGAGAGGAGTAGAGAACACTGTACAGACAAATAAAAAGAACTTTACTGGAGGTACAACAACTAAAGCATGATAACAAATAAATCCACTCTATTCAAATAAAATTTTAAGGTTATGAAGCGTCAGCTTTTTTTTTTTCAATTGCCTTCTTCCCCAATTAACCGGAATCTCCTCATGATTTTTTGTTTGAATTTTTTGCCCAAGTCTTCTGTGATATTTGATACTAACAGCATCCAGGGAATAAAGTATATACAATTAGACTTGTTCCACCATTCGTTAGGTTCAAGCAAGCTAATTGGCAAAAACTTTCAAAATTCTCATATACATATACTATAGTTGGTTATATTATTTGTCACTTTTAAGTAATTACATATGTTTCATTATTTACCACTCAAACACTATATTTCATCCTTATCTTAAACCAAACCTAAATCCTTTCTGTCCTTCTCTAAAGGGCCTACATTCCACATTCAAGATATTTGTATCCTATTTATTAAATGACTCCTGTTTTTTACCGATGCACCATTCCTTCCTCTAGGATACAAAATTGTAACTAATTTAAGTAGGATAAGGAAATATGATATAAGTGAATGCAAATGAAGATGTAAAACAGCATGTATGTCATTTATGGACCCCTCTCATAAAATACTTGCTTTCCATCCTGTAAAGTCTATCATTAATGAACACACCTAATGAACCTATGAGCAAATTTCTTATCATTAAACACAAATAGCTCAGTTTATCATTAAAGAAAAAAGAACAAAGAAAAAGAAAGCAGAGAGAGCTCAATCGACGACAAAAGCAGAGAAGAAGCATCCACGGCCTCTATCATCCACATTATCTATAAAGAGACAGGTTTAATTCAATTCATAGATAAGATTTTGAAAGAAAACTTGGCTCCCAAAAAGTATTCAATCACGGCATTGAAGCATACAAAGCACTAATGCAAGATTTCTTGATAATCACCTCAAATTTAATAAATTAAGAATAGAGAAACAAAGATTTATTGAAAAATATTAGAGTTTAGATTCTCAAAAAACCGTAAAACACAAAACAAAATTCAATTCTTATAATTCCAACATGCAAAGCACCAACTCAAGATTTCTCAAAAATTATCCCAATTTCAACAAATTAAGAATGGAGTTTCAAAAATTTTTCAAAAAAAAAAAAAAAAACTTCAAAGGCAGCTTCAGAAAATGGAAATCATTTCCAATTCTTCAATATCGAGTCATCAATTGCCCAGATTTCAAAAGGGAAACAAAAAATCAAGTTTTGAATGTTAATAAAATCCTTGGCATTTAATACATTTACAAGCACAGATTAATTAATGAATTAATCATTAATTGTGTAATTGTAAACAAAGTATTATCATCTTGAATGTATTGATTTTGTTACCAACATAGTTTCCAACTAAATACGCTCAAACATGTGAAAGGTTGGAGGATTCGATTGCTTTCTTTGAAAAGAACAAAAGCGTACTTAGCAAAAAAAAAAAAAGGGAAAGGCATGATTAGAAAAAAGAAAGGATATGGTGAGAATACCGTTTGCAAGATATCTAATGGAAATCAATCAATAAATTGAAATTCTAGCATCGAAAAAATGTATTCCAAAGGAACAAAAACTCCAAATCAAATATAAAAGGCACATTTAAACTCACTCACCAAAACTTTACTTGGCTTGACCCTCATTTGTGGCCATGTACATACCCTAAAAGAGTCCCATATACATACCCTAAAAAAGCCTATAGCAAGTGTAGTAAATCAAGCAACTTTAACATGTTTGATGCATGGTGGATGATGTTTTTTTAGTTGGTTTGTCTTGGGTGTTATGGTTATTTGGATTTTGGAAGCTTAGAAAAAACCACTTATAATTTAGAGTGTGAGAAAAGTTTAAAGTAAAAGAAAGAACCAAAAGTATGTATCTAAAATGGATTATAGAATTATTGTTGTAGTGTTATATATATCTTAGATTG